AGATTATCAACAATCCCATCAGTACTGGTAGTTCGACTGCTGTTAGACTACTTCCACTTTGGTTTTTCCCCTTTGCTCCGCCACTTCGCTGTTTTATTATCCCCTATGGGGCAAGTCAACTCGCAACCAGACTTGTGAGTTTGCCGCTTCCCATCCACGACGAGCCGCTTTACAACCAACACGCGTCAGGCAGCGAAGTGCGTTCCGTATATAGGGCGACGGTGATCTGGAATTATATGGCAATCGGTCTCAGGGTTGATTTTATTCGCGTGGTTGGAAGTTGCCCTTCCTGGTTGTAGACTTTTTGGGGGAACCCCTGCTGGTTGGAAAGTTTCCCTCCTGGTTGGTCAGAGTTGTTCTGGTTGTAAAGAGACGCACACTGGACCCCTTTCCGACTCGCCCGCTAGGTTGTGCCCGCCCGATTTGCCCGTTTGGTTCTACCGCGTGGTTTCTGTTCCCATCCCATATCCAGCAAATTTCCCCCTTGTGTTTCATCCTTCCCCCTCCCCCTTCCATTCGTCCTTTCTTCCCCTGCTTCAGGGGCTGCAGTACATGCACGTAGCAGATAAGGAAGATATGCCTCCAAGGAGATACGATCGAAAACGAGAAGGGCGGGTAACGAGGGTTTGGGATATACGTGTTGAGTGGCACGCGAGCAGATCGGAGTGAATAGTAATCACAAATTGTTGTTGCTGCTGCTGTTGTTGGTGTTGTTGAGTTTTCATTTCTGAAGGGTAATTATTGTTGATCCCCCCCTGCGGTAACATATATGCTTTTCGATTGAAGTGCCCCTTCTGGGGCTCGCACCATGTTTTTTATATAACAGGGAAAGGGTTGAGTATCAACATGTTGTTGTTCGCCCCCGGATTGCAAAAACAGCGGCTTCCGCCTGATACTTCCTCACCATGTATTCCCAAATCGCGGTCTCGCGTGGGACTTCCTCACGATTTTTGTACCGCTCTCGCGTTGGACTTCCTCCCACTTTACTCAGACGACGCGCCCTCGACATTCAGGAATCACGCTTTCGCTTTGGCCTATCGCATTATTTACTTGGGAATCGCGGTATCGCTTGGGACTTCCTCGCGATTCATGCAGGACCCACGCTTCAGCAACCCGCCTGCTCGACCTGGGCGTCTGAGCCCGCGTTCCCGACCTGCCCGCTGTGGGTGTGCCCACCCGATCTGCCCGTCTGGTTGGGCCATGTGTATTCTGCTCCTTGGCCCCCTCCTGCTAATTTTCCCTTTGTTCCATTCTTATCCCTCGTTCCTTTCATCCTCTTTTCCCTTGCTGTAGTGGCTGCGCTCAATGCGCGTGGCAGTTAAGGAAACTAGACCCCCAAGGGGGTACGATCGAAGACGAGGAGGGCGGGTACCGAGGGCTTGGGATAGATGCGATGAGTGGCACGTGAGCAGATAGGAGCGAGCAGTCTTATAATGATTGTTGTTGCTGTTGCTGTTGTTGTTGGGTTCTGACTACTGAAGAGTCGTTTTTGCTGATCCCCCCCTCCGGGTCACATTTTGCGTTTTCTATGGAAGTCCCCTTCCTGGCGCTAGCCATTTTTTTCAGTGAGAGTCTTGAGTCTCAAAATTGTGTTGTTGCCCCCCTTGTTTGCAATAACAGCGCTTCCCGCCTGATACTCAGGGTGTATTCCCAGATCGCGCTCTCGCGCGGGACGTATTCACAATGTATACAGAAATCGCGCTCTTGTGTGGGTCTTCCTGTCGATTTATTTATCGCTTCGCTCACTCCGCCGGCCCATTTCGCATCACCGTGGCTGCGTGGTGTGGTATGCTCGTGCCCAGGGAGAGCGGTGAGGCAGGCTGGACGATCTTCGAGGAGATCTTTGGAGATTAGCTTGCACCCTGTCGACGAGAGCCGATATACTACCCCAGAGAGGGGCCTCTTGGGGGCCTCTTGTGGCCTCTTGGGGAGCTCTTGGGGGCCTCTGGAGGCTTCCTGTGCGCCTCTTGGGGCCGAGAGCTCGAAATGTCCGTTCGGGTCCCCCGTCTGGGCCCGCTCTTGGAGCCGTCTTGGGAGCCTCTTCGGCCATCTTGGAGGCCTCTGGGGCTGTCTTTCGGGCGAAGAGAACTATACACGTGCACCGATCCTGGCAAGGCCCGTCCTTGACCCAGGATCGGTGCATATACCTTCCTGGCCAAGGTAGCGGGCGTATGCACCGATCCTGGGCTCAGGATGGGCCTGGCCAGAATCGGTGTATGTGCATAGTTCTCTTTCCTCTAGTCTTGGGGCCCTCTGGGGCCGTTTTCGGTGTTCTTGGAGGCCTCTCGGGCCGTCTTGGGGGGATCCTGGAAGCCTCTTGGGCCGCCCAGCAGGCCCGGTGGGCCGAAAAGGCGAGAACGCCAAAAACCTTCAAAAACTAAAGGACAATTGCAAATTTCTGCTTCTGCAGGCCCTCTAGGGAGGTCCTTGGAGCCCTCTTGGGCCGTCTTGAAGGCGCTTTGGCTGTCTGGAGGCCATCTTTGGCGTCTTGGATCGCTCTCGGCTCGTCTCGGATCATGTTGAGTTCTCTCGGAGACCACTTGAAGTGCTCCTGGAGCGCTCTTGGGAGCCTGCTGGGACCTCGGGACCTTGCCAGGGTACTTTTCGTCTGGGGACCCCCAGGGGCAGCCCCGTGCGCGCGAACTAGAAATACTGTTAACCAGTTGCTGGAGTTCTTAGCACGCCCTTGGCCCGTTGGGCCGGCGACTTCAGACGCCGCGCCCTCGACACTGTGGACTTCCTCACGAGTATCCGCCCGATTTGCCCGTCTGGTTCTGCATTTGCTTTCTGCTCTCTCTCGTGTTCGCTCCTCCTCCTTCCCCCTTGTCCCTTCCTTCCATCCGTTCTTATTTCCCCTGCCCCAGGGGCTGCACGAAATACACGTTGCAGGTAATATATATATATATATATATATATATATATATATATATATATATATCCCAGGGGGCGATGTCCCCCGGCCGAGCCCAAGGACCTCGGGGGCGCATGGGGGTGCAGGGCCCCCGGGGCCGCTCGGAAGGGTTCCCGTTCGGCTCCAGAGACCGCCAGGGCGGGCTCCAGCCCAGCCAAGACAGCCCGCGAGCGCTCCAACACGCGCCAGCATGGCTTCCAGACGAGCCCAGCGGCCACCAACACGCCCCAAGCGGCCTCCAAGACGCCTCCCAAGAGAGCCCCAAGAGGCAAACAACGTTGTTTTTTTTCATTGTTTTTTCTAATGTTTTTTGTCTTCTCGCTTTTCCTGCTTTCCGACGCTCCAAGACGGCCCAAGAGGCCCCCAAGAGAGCCCCAGGACGGCCCAAGAGGCCCCTAAGCCGGCCCCAAGACGGCCCAAGAAGCCCCCAAAGGCGTCCCGAGACGGCCCAAAAGGCCCCCAGGACGGCCCAGGAGCCGCCCAAGACAGCTCCAGGAGGGCCCCGCCACGGCCTGAAGACTGCCTAAGCGAGCCCAGCGGACCTCCAACACGCGCCAGCATGGCCTCCAAACGTGGCCAGAAGCCACCAACACGCCCCAAGCGGCCTCCAAGAGGCCTCCCAAGGAGCCCCAAGAGGCCAGAAACGTTGATTTTTCATTGTTTTTTTATATTTGTTTTGCCTTCTCGCTTTTTCTGTTTTCCGACGCTGCCAGACGGCCCAAGAGGCACCCAAGACAGCCCCAGGACGGCCCCAGAGGCCCCTGAGCCGGCCCCAAGACAGCCCAAGAGGCCCCCAAAGGCGTCCCAAGATGGCCCAAGTGAGCCCCAAGACAACCCAGGAGCCGCTCAAGACAGCCCCAGGAGGGCCCCGACATGGCCTGACGACTGCCTAAAAGGCCAGCGAGCCTCCAACACGCGCCAGCATGGCCTCCAGACGAGCCCACAGGCCACCAACACGCCCCAAGCGGCCTCCAAGAGGCCTCCCAAGAGAACCCCAAGAGGCCACAAACGCTGATTTGTCATTGGTTCTTTCGATGTTTTTCGCGTTCTTGCTTTTTTTGCTTTCCGACGCTCCAAGACGGCCCAAGAGGCCCCCAAGAGAGCCCCAGGACGGCCCAAGAGACCCTTAAGCCAGGCCCAAGACGGCCCAAGACGCCCCCAAAGGCGTCCCAAGACGGTCCAAGAGCGCCCCAGGACGGCGCAGGAGTCGCCCAAGACGGCCCCAGGAGGGCCTCGACATGGCCTCAAGATTGCCTAAGCGAGCCCAGCGGACCCCAAGAGGGCCCCACGAGGCCGCAAGAAGCCCCCCGAGGCCACCCAAGCGCCCCCCAAAAGGCTCCCCGGAGGCTCCCAAGAGGCCCAACAATTCCTCCCAATACGCCCCAGAGACTTCCAGTATGCCTCCAAAAACTGACCCCGAGAGGGTCATGCGAGGCCCCAAGACAGCCCAATGATGGCCACGCGAGAGCCACACCATATATTATGATGATGAGGAGGCGTAAGTAATGGTGGCGAGGGATGCTGATGACAAGGATGGAAGGGGAGCGAAGGATGAGGAGGAGTGGGGAGCGACTCGAGGTGAGGAAGGACGAGAACGAGGTGTAGGAAGAGAAGGAGCGGCAGATTGAAGAGAGCGGGGGGGACATGGAGGAGGCTGATGATGATGATGAGGAGGAGGAGGACGACGAGGAGGAGAGGAGGACGGGGAGCAGTGACGTAACCAGCCCTTAACATTTACGCTCCCAAGTGCGAAGGGTGCCATGAGCCGTCTCGGGCAAGTTCCTTCAGCGCTCTTTCCGTTTCCGTGCGCAACCATTGGCCCATCCATGGAGCCATGACGGGGCCCAGGTCAGCGCCGAGGCTGTTCCCGGAGCTTCCAACAAGGTCTCCGAGTTGCACTTCCGCGTCCTGCTCCACCGACCCCGTACCCCATATCGGCTGAAGACATGATGCTGCTGCCTCCGCAGTCGCCAGTCAGTATTTTCCTGCTTACTTTTACGGCATTGCAGGCTGCCATCCATGTCGCGGGTCGAGCCGCCGCTCCCTGCACCTCCGTATTCGTGGTCATGGCTCCAGCTGTTACTGAGAGGCCGCGACACACGTGTCATAACTATCCAATTTGCAGTGGACTCCAAGCTCAGATCCCAGTCGAAGGCACCAACAAACGAGAACGTCAAACATTTTGCAAGCGGTGCCTTTCGGCAAATGCACGGCGTGCCCACCCCCAGTGCGAGGCTCCTGTAGCGCCACCCTTCCGACGGCCAAAAACACATGTCACGCCTACTTTCTGCACAACGCACTATTCCGACCCATGCCGCAATACCACGCGCGAGTGGAACTTGTGTAGGAACGCCCGCGTCGGCTGCCGCCTTCTGGCAACTAACTAATCATCTGGCCCGTGCTTTCCGTGCTCTGAAGGCTCCCTGCCCTGTCGCTTCGCGGTGCTGGGGTGTCCTTCCCACGTCCGGCAAAAGGTCAAAAATGCATCAGGCCGGCTTCCGCAATGCGTTAACCATCACAACAACCATTCTTGCCCCTACAACCCTGGTCGGCAATTCGCCTGCGCATCGCCTGGCTGCCAGGAGGAACGGAGCGATGCAGCCCGCAGTACTTGCGTCCCATGCCAAGCCGGACGTCGACCGTGCACAGTGTGCTTCTCGCGCCGAGGAGCGCCCGGAACTCCAGATCTGCGCGCTCACTGTGGCGGAGCCAGCCCAGCCGCCAGCCTTTCTCTAGCCGCTCCAGCGCAGTCTTCGACGGCGCTTGCATCTACGCCCTCGCGATGTAGCGCTCCGAAGTGCGGGGCGCCAGCGGTGCAAGAAAGCACATCTCGAACGGGCGCGCAATGCCCCATGTGCATCGTCGGGGTCTTTCCTTGCGCTACGGCCACCTGCAACTTCCGCGTCCCTCGACAACATGGACAGCATTGCCTCGTCTGCCAACCGCCCGCCCTGCTCCACTTCTGCCGCGCGCCCGCGTGTACGAACGTAGTCGAGTCGCCAGAGGACACTTTGTGTTGTCTTTGCACTTCGTCCTGTTTCCCATGCGCGACGCGTCGGTGAGACGGCCGTTCCACCCCTGGTTCAGCAGGCCTATGTCGAACGTGTGGGCTGTCCACACCACAACCACTACCATCCCTCTCCAAACGATCCTACGAGCAAGCCGAACGCCCTTGTAGCTCGTCTGGGTGCAACGGTGTAGCTTAACGGAAGTCGTCCGACGGCCTCTGCATCGCGTGCATTCGGAAAAGGGAAGCCATGTAGCAATCGTGCCATTGGGTGCGCTTTTCGCGTGGGCCCTCTCGGCACCGTGGTGGAATGTAGGCACTGTTGCCTCGCGGGGCCCCGTTGCCAGGGGCCCGGAAAGGCCGGCTGCCGCGCCCCCGCCCGCCATGGCGTGCGACGCGCAGTGCCGCACAACAACGGCATGTGCGAACGTTGCTTTAAACCCACATGTTCCTTCCCACTGTGCGACAGAAAGTTGACGAAAGCAATGTACGCCACCGGATACTGCCCCGACCACGTCCGACATGCCGCGGTAGCCACCGCCGCCGCCGGGCCCCATCATCCTCCGACGTCGGGGTCTTCTGGTGTCCCACACGCCCGTCCACGTAGCGATCCGTTGCAAGCACTCCGCAAGCAGGCGGGGGCAGCCGTCCGCATGTACCTCCGAGCACGTGACTCGCCGAAATGTTCCGTGCCGTGGTGTCGCCTCAAGTCCACCCGCGTAGCACTTCCGAACTCGTCCAGCTGTCCGCCCGCCTGCGCAGCGCATCGGAACTGGTTCGCAGAACCCGTGCCTGGGACTTCTCTTGGCGTACGCACCGGCCACCGCGCCGGCTGGTGGTCGACAGACGAATGATGCAGCAACCGCGTTCCGAAAGCGTCGCTCTCTCCGACCGGCCACTTCCAAGGAGCCTGCGCAACGTGCGGGGCTCTGCACTTCTTCGCCGAACGCGCGCGTTGCACGGCAGCACGCAACGCAGAAAGGACTTCGGCGCGTGCTGCAGGTACGGAGCCCTGGCTGGCATCCCCCTACTGCCTCCCGCTCCGGCCGAAATGGATCAGCTCCTTCGTCCGGGTCTTTCCCACGACCACTTCATGCAGCACATTCGGTCGTACAACTGCGCCCTTGGATTCGCATCCTTCAACAGCGAGAGCACTGTCGCCGGACGGAAAACCCGCACGGAAGACCCCCTGTCGGGCACCCGGGCACCGGGGCACCCGGGCACCCAGGCACTGCAGGCACCCCGGCACCGGGGCATCCGGGCATCCCCCGGGCACCCGGGAAGGAGGAGGGAGGATGAGGAGGAGGAGAGGAGGAGGAGTGAACGTCGGGCAGGCGTCCAGCGCAATCCGAGCCGAGGGTAGAGCCAGAAGGAGTAGGAGGTGGAGGGGACCGGGAGGACCGTTTCGGCCGTTCGAAAAAGCACCTCATCCATGTCCTCCTCCTCCTCCTCCTCCTCCTCCTCCTCCTCCTCCTGCTCGTTCTCTTCCCCCTCCCTTCCATAATCAGACTATTCCTCCGCCGGCTCGGCTCGGCCCGGCCCGGCCCGGCTCGGCCAGCGGAGGAGGAGGAGGGAGGAGGAGTGGGAGGATGAAGACAGGACAGGGGGGGAGTAGGACGACGAGGAGGAGGAGGAGGAGGAGGAGGAGGAGGAGGAGGAGGAGGGGGAGAAAGAGCGAGGAGGTGGGGAGGGACATGGACAAGGGGAGGCGGATGAGGACTAATTTCGTGGAGGAGCAGGCGTTCGCAACCGGCGCAGCATCCAGGCAGAAGAGGAGGAGGAGGAGGAGCAAGAGGAGGAAGAGCAGGAGGAGGAGGAGGAGGAGGAGGAAAAGGAGGAGGAAAAGGAGGAAGCGCAGGAGGAGGCCCGGTTCGCCTGAGACATCCTCAAAGCTCTGGGTTCCGAGACGTCCTGACCTGAGTTGGTCAGACCACTTTCGCCTGAGACATCCTCGAAACTCTGACCTCGGAGGTGCCCTGCCCCACGGTGGTCCGGGCACTTTCGCTTGAGACACGCTCGCATTTCTGGGTTCCGAGACGCCCTGAGGTGAGGTGTTCACTCCGATCTCGCCTGAGACATCCTGCGATCTCTGACCTCGGAGGTGCCCTGCCCCACGGTGGTCCGGGCACGTTCGCCTGAGACATCCTCGCAACTCTGGGTTCCGAGATGCACTGAGCTCTGACCTCGGAGATACATTGCCCCAAGGTGGTCTGGCCACTTCCGCCTGAGACCCTCGCCACTCTGAGTTGCGAGATGCCCTGAGCAGGTGGTCTGGCCACTACCGCCTGAGGCATCCTCACAACTCTGACCTCTTGGGGCCTCCGGGGGGGCCTCTTGGGCACTCTTGGCCAGGGCCCAGAAACAAAACCAGGCCAGGGCCCAGAGACAAAATCCGAAACGCCCCAGAAACAAAACTTGAAACACAACTTGAAACAAATCCCTTGAAACAATTGTCCGGCTGTGGAGCCGCCTGTCGGGACACACCGCCCTATGCATGTGTGATGTTTACCCATGCGCGCCCCGTATGATTCACACATAAGTATCATATTCAGCTAGGGGGGCATGGTTGTATATCTGTATATCTGAGACCACAGCACACGTATATCTATGAACATCTGTGACCTCATATCATACGTACATGTATCTACATGCATGGTACAGCATCTTACGTGCGTGCATGTACATGCAGTGTGTCAATGCTTACGTATGTGTATGCATATGCATGGTATCACATCTACGTGTGTGTACGCATATGCATGGTGTAACATCTCACGTATGTGTATGTATACGCATGGTAAAACATCATACGTATTTATTCATATAACGGCGCACCAGGTCCGTGCGCCCGGGGCTGGCGCCGCTACCACAAATGTGGGCTCCGGGGCCCTCGGGGAGCCCCGGGGCCTCACAGAAGACCGCCAGAAGGCACCAAGGAGGCCCGAAAGGCTCCAGAACAGACCCGGGACGCCCGAAGGTCGCTCCCAGACGCCCAACATGGCCTCCAAGGCGGCTTCAGAAGCCCCCAAGACACCCCAAGCGACCCCCAATAGGGCCCCAAAGAGAGCCCCAAGGGGCCAAAATAACCCCATTCCTTTCGTAAAACGTATATGTTTAACATATTGCTTGTTTTCGCTGTCGGTCCGGCCGAGGACGCGCCCCAGAGGGCCCCAATACAGCCCCAGAGAGCTCCAGGACGGCCCACGAAGGGCCCAAGACGACCGCAAATGTGGGCCCCGGGGCCCTCGGGGAGCCCCAGGGCCTCACAGAAGGCCGCCAGAAGGCGCCAAGGAGGCCCCAAGAGGCTCCAGAACAGACCCGGGACGCCCGAAGGTCGCTCCCAGACGCCCAACATGGCCTTCAAGGTGGCTTCAGAAGCCCCCAAGACACCCCAAGCGACCCCCAATACGGCCCCAAAGAGAGCCCCAAGGGGCCAAAATAACCCCATTCCTTTCGTAAAACGTAAAATTTCAACATATTGCTTGTTTTCGCTGTCGGTCCGTGCTTGACGACCTCAGAAGCTACCGAGACCGCCCCAATACGGCCCAGGACGCGCTCCAGAGGGCCCCAATACAGCAGGGGGGGGGGATTTTCGGAGGGGGGGGGGGAGACCCCTGGGTTCGGAGGAAAAGGTCGCCAATTTTCCACAGTACAGCGGCGGTGGATCACGCTCTCTCGTATATGCACATGTATATGTATATGCGTATGTGCATGTATTTGTAAATGTATATGTATTTGCATATGCATATTCATATGTATGTTTGTATGTATATATACATATATATATATATGAGTATGCTTATGCACATGCATATGTACATGTAGATGCACAAGCATATGTATATGCACATGTTGATGTACATGTATTTGTATAGGTATATGTGTGTATATATATACACCTGTACATGAACATGTAATGCACGTGAATATATATACATATATATGCAAAATGTTGTGTATATGTGCATCCGTACATAGGCATATGCATTTGTATAGGTATGCTTTTATTTTCAAATATAGATGCATGCATATGCGTATGCCTAATTATATGTATATGTGTATGTATATGTATAGGTTTAGGTATGCGTATGTGCATATGCTTATGTTTATGTAGATGTGTATGTATGCGTATATGTACACGTAGATGTAT